GCCGACATGCCGAGGTAGAGGTGAGCGTCGTCATGGGGGTCGTTGACGACCTTCTTGCTGTCCTGTTGCCTCTTTGGATCGAACTTGTCGTTGTGCTCGAGCTCGGTCAGCCGCGCGCGCTGGCAGGCCAGCCCGGCCCAGGCAAGCTGCGGCGGGTCCTGCCGGTCGTAGACCGCGCCGAAGCACAGCATCTTCATCCCCACTGCGTGTTCGCCCACGCCCACGTCCGAAGGCTGAAAGCGCCCGCACGCCAGGAAGCGCGCGCGCCTCTGCTCGGGGTTTTGGAAGTGCTCCGCGATGAACGAGAGCGCGAAGAGGACGGTCCTGGGCCTGTTGAGCGGCCAGTCCTCCCAGGAGCTCTCCTGCATCGCCTTGGCCGAGGTTCTGAAATCCCAGTGCCTGATCCCGAACGGCGCGCGCGCGATGGCCAGCGCCCTGGCGCCCTCCTCGCTGGGCTGTCGAGACCCGTCGGTGGTCCCCCCAAGCCTCGCCAGACGCGCCATCACGTCGCTGAACTTCACCTTCGGAGCCGACCTCCGTCAGCAGGCCCTCGACCGCGGGGCTGTCGAGCTTGGTCAGCTGCTCCTTCAGCCACATGTCGTTGTCGGCCTTGGACCTCGCCGCCCGCTGCGCCCTGCCGACCAGGGCCATTGCCTTTGCGATGGCGCCCGCCGCGCGGCCAGCTGCGACCTCGGGCGAGGGCGAGACGGCGGCCCCAGGGGACTCGGCGGAGCTGCCCATGCGGGAGGCCGCGTAGTCGCCCAGCGCGTCCAGCTCGACCCACCCCACGGGCATGTCAGGACAGTGCAGCGAAGGGCAGGGTGGGCAAGATTGCGAGGCCGAGCTGAGGTGGATTGAGAGATGGGGCAGCTCTCGGAGCACGCCTTCAGTCTGGACCATACATCAAGAGACTTGAGGAACAGAAGTATCGGAACGGATGCTAGGCATCGAACGATGGAGGAGACCCTCTCGCAATGTTTAGGATGTCCGCTCAAAGAACTACTATCAATTCGAATCAGTTGGAATCAATAAGAATCAAGTAGAAGCAATAAGAACCAACTAGACGCACGAGGAACCAAAGGGAATCAACTAGGAATCGACTAGGATCAATGGGAATCAGCAAGAACCACTAAATATCATTCGGAATCAGAATTCAAATCGATAGGACTCAATTAGAATCAGCAAGAACCAATGAGACCCAACAGGAACCAATACAACCAACAAGAACGAATTTGACTCAACATGAATTAAACAGAACCAATGAAGATCAATGAGAAGCAAGAGGAATCATGTAGAACCAATCGGCATACATGGGGATCACTAGATCAAGTACAATCAATGAGAATCCACGGGGATCACTTGAAATCAGTGGGAATCAAATTGGATGAATTGGATTCAGCAGGAATGAACGATAATCAAGGAATACATTCAAACCAATAGAACTCAGTTAGAATCAATGGCGATCAATAAGAATCACATGTAATTCATGGGAGTCAATACGAATTTAGTAGCATCACTGGGGATCCATACGAATCGAACAAGATCAATTCCATCCAACTAGGATCATTCAGAATCAGTTAGAGACATGAGGAATCACTTCAAATCAAGAGGATGCAATGAGAACCATTATGATCCCGATGCCTTTTTTTTACATCCACTGCCACGTTAACTGCGATGTGTTTTTGCAGGCTCGGGCGATGCACGCGGGAACGAAGTGAAGGACAGGCAGAACATTACACTCGGGAGGGAAGGGGCGAACTGAGCCAAGAAGGGCTACGCGACAGAGCAACTTACAGGCGGACTCAACTGGGAGCAAGCTCTGGAGATGAGACCGATGCCTTGTTGCACATCCATTGCCACATTAACTGCGAGGTGTTTTTGCAGGCTTGGGCGATGCACGTGGAAACGAAGTGAAAGGCAGGCGAGCTCAAGCCTGCAGAACATTGCGCTCCAAAATCCAGAATGGGAGCGCAGCCAATGACGAGCGACAGAGAACGCGGGCGCGGGTGCTGCGGCGTAGCCTGCTGCGAAGGGCCTCAAAACGCAGGCGCCGCCAGGTCGGCGAGAAGGGCGCAGAGCTCGCGAGGATATGGCTGCGCCCTGGTCGCGCGCCAAACCTTTGGCGCCCTTGCCCTCCAGGATAGCGCGAGTGCGAGCGGACCTGGAGCGCGCGCCTCTGGAGGGGCGGCGCCGTGGGAGAGCCAGCGGTGACCAGTTTACAACAAGGATCTGAGTGGCCTTCTTCCAAGGCGTGCCGAATTGGCAGAAGTCCGTTACCTGCATGTTAGCATTAGACAGCAGCGCGAGTGCCTTGACCTCGTCTGCGAGCCAGACTCGGCTCCTGGCTGGATTCCCCAGAGCACAGGGGCAGCCGCAGGATGCAGCCAATTGAAAGATTCTAGCATTCTGTCGCAAAGCAAGTTATGTAACTGTGCCTCCTCACCGTCGCTGAACGAGAGATCGGGCGGGCCATAGAGATGATCGGCATCATCTCTGAGTGGGCCCGGCCCTCTCCCGCCCCAGCGCCTGGCCCTAGACCGCGTCTGACATGGCAATCCAGACCAGACGAGGCAGATGGGGCGATCCAGAAGCCCCTTCTCTATCTTACTGAGTGACTCGGGCCTCAAAAAATCAGCCGCCTCGCCACGCTCGACGCCCCGGGCCTCTGCTGGGGCGCCGGCGCAGGCGAGGGCCTCCGAGAGGCGCCCACAGCCGGGGAAAAACTCGACGGCCCTGCGCCCTTGGACGAGACGGCGGCCCGTGGGACAAAGAGGTGTGGAACGCGTCCTGCAACTTGTCTAGAGCCAGGGTACCCTTCTTGTTCGTGTCGTCTGCGACCTTCGACTGCTGCTGCAGCGGCCGCCCGTGAGCCTCGTGCCTTCTCGCTGTGCGATCGGACAACCATCGGCCCCGTGCCTTGACGCTTGCGAGCGACCTCCTCTTGCGCGAGACGTCGCGGCTGGGGCCGGAGTGCCGCGCGTGGCAGGGCGAGACCATGAGCTTGTCGAGGCCCGCCCTCTCGGCGGCCGCCGCCGTGGTCGGGCCGAGGAAGTGGCGACTGAAGTCGAAGAAGAGCCTGTCCGGCTGGCCCCTGCGGAGGCCCGCGAGGAGCGCCCCCGGCCACGGCAGGTCGAGCGAGTCCAGCGCCAGGCTCTCGTCGAAGAGGTTGACCTTGGAGGGGTGCTGGCCCATCTCCTCGCGCGCGCAGGCTCCGCATGGCGACGGCCGAGGCGCGATGGGGGCGCCACGAGGGCCTTCTCCTTCAACCTCATCGCCCCCCCTGGCCGAATGAACGTGACCCGCGTCGTGACCAGCGCGAGCGCCGTGATCGGGCGCCCCGCGCCGATCATCTCGATCCAGAGGAGGGACAGCAGGTGCAGCGGGATGGGGGGCCGAGTCCTCCCAGGTTCCAGCCTCCGCCAGCCCCTGAAAGCCTTGCGCGCCCTCGGGAGGGCCAGCGTGCCAGCCTTGGAGTACTCCGGGTGGAAGTGCATGTAGGCCGCCAACACCTTCGCCCCCTCGGAAGCGTCGTCGCCCGACTTCCACAGGTGATCGATGAAGTCAGCGAGGGCGGAGTCGGGCTGCTTCTCCAACTGGCCTGAAATATGCTTGGCTGAGACCCACTCCTCGAAGTCGGCGCGGCGCTGAGCGTTGTCCTTGTGCGATTTGGCGCTCGCGGAGCTGGGCCGGAGGAAGGCGCCCTGCCCCGCCGCGGCTTAGGCCCTCGAGGAGCCCGCCAGGGAACCGCGGGGGGCCGCCCAGAGCATCGTCCTCTTCGTCCAGCTCCAGCCACTCTGCGAGCGAGATGGTGGCTCCTGAGCCGGGCACAGGGCACGCTGCACGCGCAGCCCGCCCTCGCGGCTCCCAGAGACTGGAGCCCTCGTCGGCGCGATTGTTTTCTGGTGTAATCCAGCGATATACGTAAGATGAACCCGAAACCACTGAAAAAAAGGCGGCAGTTTTGCGCCGTGACTTGTTGATTACAAAATATGAGGAACGTCCCTTCTCCACGGCCAAGACAGCACCCAGGTTGCCCCCTAGGAGGAGGTGCCTTTTCCTAAAGCCGTAGATGCCCCTCGTCGCGCGTCGAATTCCCGAAGCCATACCAACCCCTTCTAGAACCGAAATAGGACCATCACGCCCTCGAAACCTCGCGGCGTGCAGTAGCTTCCAGTCGTCCTGCCGAAGGTACCCCGGATCGATCTCGGCGAAATCCGGATTCGGCTCCCGGACAGACCCATAGCTCTTGATGGCGTCCTGAGGCCAGCGTGAGGCCGCAACTGCATAGCCCGAGAGGCAAGCATCGGTGGCGATGACCCTGTCCGACCACTCCAGACGCAGATCCGACGCCGTCACCTGGATGAGATAGGAAACTTGCCGGGCCTCTTGCGCGGCCTCACCCCGCAGACCACCCGGAGAGGCCCCCAACTTAGCAGCGAAATCGTACATGCGCCTAAATATTGAGAGCCCAGGGCGAAAGATCAGGAAGGCAGAACTACAATGACCAATGAAACGACTCAACGCAAGCCCTGCCGTCCGCGGCCGACGGGACAAAGCCCGGGCAGCGGCTGCAGCCCTCTCCCTGCGTAACAAACGATCAGAGCTTCCCCATCGAAATAATATCCCAGAGCAGTAAACTGTCGCACTGGACCAAAGACCTCATGGACGAGAAAGCCAGATTTGGTAAGCTAGGCGATGACAGCATCACGGGTAGACACGGCCAGGGTCGTGGATGTCGCTAGGACCACCAAGTTCTCACAATGCACGCTCAACAAGGGAAAGTCTGCACGCCGCTCGGGAACAGGGGCCCCCTCCTCCATGGGCAACGAGGGTGCCCGAGGCAGTGCGAGACACATTTGATGGACGTGAACACGCTGCACCAACCACATTGCCCAGGCCCGCCCCGTAGGCGCCGAGCGAAGACGAGGCCTCACCTCCGAGAGCCCGCGCAAAGCCCCGCCCAGACTGGCGGGCGCGCCCCGCTCTAGGAGAATGGGGGCCGGGCACGGGCGGCAGGGCAAAGAACGGGCGCAGCTCAAGAGGCATAGCTAGCCAGAAGAAGTAGTCTGCGATGTCGGATTCAGCGCCCCACATGCCGCGCCCCTGCAGCTCAAGGGGGATCTGGGGGCCGGCGAAGGCGGAGCCGCTCGCCATGCGGATCTTGGGCGGACTGCGCCATCGCACGTTGGCTTCGCGGCGGTCCCGCGCCAGCCGCTGCTTCCAAGATTTCTTGCGCACGAAGAAGGGATGCGCGGCCTCGATCGCCTCCGCCCCAAAATCCACGAGGTTGGACTCGAACAGGTCGCGGACGCACTGGCAATGCAGAGACCGATCCCGTTTGAACCCCGCGTCCATGTAGGGCTTAATAGATGCCGGCTGGTCCATGATGGATCCCATCTCGACAATCGAGCGGAGCGCCGCGGTGGCGCAGCCGTCGATTACGCCTCTGCCAGAATCATAGATGACATCCATCAGCCACGGAGGCGAAGCCCCCGCAGCTGGCGTCGAGACCCGGCCTCGATCATGCGGCCCCACGCTGCAACTGGAGCCCCCACCAGCATATGAGAACGGCATTCCGCCAAGCTCCTTCGCGGCTTCACGGTCCTTGCACAAAGATGGGCAGGAGGGCCATGCCGCCAACGTAGACAACATGTGACCATGGGCCGCGCGGCGCGCGCCCGACGGTCGAGAGGAAGAGATGGCAGCCGGGGGTGACAAGTCGTTGAGCGCGTCGATGACCCCATTGGCGAGTAGCTGCCTCGCACGCCTCCTCGACGCACGTTTGAACGCGGTATTGGGCAGGCGCGGGGCAGGGCGCTTATCCACGTCAACAGCTGGCAGGGGAAATAGGCCTCGCTGGCGACTATCCTTCGGGCGCCTCTCAATACCTGCCGAAGTAGGGCCCTCGGGTAAGGCAGCGCGGGAGGGCCGGGTCCGCGTGCCAAGGGGCAGCGGAGTCATTCGCCCCCCTCCCCGTCGGCCGGGGCGAGCCCTCCTTTTCCACCTCGGCCTCTGCCACCTCGGCCTCCTCGCGTGCCCTGCTCGGTGCGCCGCTCCTCGGCGGCCTTCCGAGACCTCTTGAAGATGGCAGCCTCGCCCCTGAACTTCGCGGCCGCGTGCGCCGCCAGATCGGGCGCCGCGGAGGCAGAGGCCGCGGCGGGCCCCCACCCCATGAAGCGGTCGGCCCCCGAGAAGTCGGGGGCAGGGGCCGACTGCGCGCGGGCTGACTTGATGAGCCGGGGCCCCCTGCTGACAAGCCCCATGCACTTCGGCGCTGGCACGTTGAGCTGATCGTGGCAGACCGCGGCAGCGAGCGCCTGCGACAGGACGAAGTGCTCGCGGATGGCCCGGCCTCCCTCGCGCAGCCTGGCCTTGCGACGCCGGGCCTCGCGCGCCGCTTGGGGGGGCGGGCCGTTCTCCGCGACGCGCCTGCAGAGCGCGCGCGGGCCCTGCAGGTCGAGGCCGCCGGCGGGCAAGGCGTCGCCCTGCCCCTGCGCGCCTTCGCCGACGCCGACGCGCCTTGACCCGCCAGCGTCGAACAGCACAGGCTGAACCTGAATATCATCGCATGTAAAACGATACACCTCAGGGCGCGTGAGCCGCCCCAGGAAGACGTAGCCACCCTTCCACGGCATGATGGCGCGATCTCCCGCTGAGATGGCGTCGGCCGCCAGCACCATCTCCGTGCCTTCGGCAGCTCCTCGGCGCCCTCCGCCGCGACCCAGACATGGGCCGCGCGCGGAGCAGGGGCGGCGAGGCCCGCCGCCCGGGCCCCCTGGCCGGGGCGCTGGGGGTCGGCAGGCCCCTGTGGCGGCGGAGGTCCAGCGCGAGGAACGACATCTTCACCTCCGACACGTCGCGCCCGAAGACCGCCCGCGAGGGCCGGCGGGCCCAGTGCCAAGGCCGCATCGACGAAGTGCCGGCGCAGCTCCTCGATGGCAGGGGAGCTCCTCAAGCGGTAGATGTTGACCCCCCTGCAGGCCGCAGGGTGCGCCCCGAAGGCCCGCCGTCCCGCGGGCCCCCCCCACGTTGGCCGAGGCGGGGGAACAGTCCTCCACGTGCGCATCCCCATCGGGCGCGAGCATGAAGTCGGTGGGGCGAACCGCCAGCACAATCCCCTCATGCCAGAGGTCCGCCCAGGTACATTGCACTTGAGGAGGAGCACATCACCGGCTCTCGCCATGGCGACGCCCGTGGATCAAGGCCAACTGCTTCTGGGCAACATCCTGCCAGTCGTGATCGGGGGCGGGCGTCGCCGCCGCCGAGGTACCCTGATCGGCTCGAGCAACACGCGGCCCTGCACGCAACCAGGTCGGCACCGCGAGGAGAGCCCCGCAGACCCAGCCCGCGACGAAGATGCCAATCGCCGCGAGGCCGCGAGCCAGGTATCCAATGACCCCCGGGCCGCTCGACACGCACTCCACGTGGACAGGCGGGGTCCGCGCCTCAGGGCAGCGCAGCTCCACCTGCGCTGGCGGCGGCGCTGGGCAGGGAAGATTCACCGCGGCGTCGCGCCGCGCGCAGATGGCAGCCGACGCAGCAGACTGCAGGGAGAAGTCCAGAAGTTTGGGCAGCAAGCCGCACAGATGCCCCCACATGCGGGGAGAAGAAGACTAAGCCGAAAAGGGCGAAGCGACATAGCAACTTGCAGGCGGACTCAACTGGGAGCAAGCTCTGGAGAGGAAGCAAATAAAAACAACGTGTCTCACATGAAACGATTGGGAATCAATCCGGAGCAGTACAAATCAATGTGAATCAATGAGAACAAAATAAAACAAATGGGGATCAGTTAGAACCAGTAGTAATCGATAACACTCAGTAGGGATGAACTGATGCCATCAGGAATCAATAAGAATCAATATGAATCAATTTCAAAACCAATGGGAGCACATTAGACACAATAGGAATCAATTCGCCAATAAGAGCCATTTAGAATCAGTACAAATCAATAAACCAAGTCGGAATCAATGAGAGTCCATTAGGAATCAATTAGAATCAATGAGAGTCAATGAAGACAAATAAGAATCAATCGGAATCAAACAGTATCAACAGGAACCAGTTGAAATCAGCAAGAATCAATGAGACCCAACAGGGGTCAATAACACCAATGGGAACAACTTAAAATAGCTATGAACCCTTTAGGATCAAATAGACTCACTGGGAATCAAATAGAACCAATCGGAATCAATGGGCATCAGCGAAGATGAATTTAAATCGATAAGAGCGTTTGGGAAACAGTCCAAATCAATAGGACTCAAGATGGATGAATTGGATTCAACACGAATGAATGAAAACCATTGAATCAATTCGAGCCAGTAGAAATTACTTAGAACCAATGGGAAGATAGTATAATCGATGGCGATCAATAAGAATCAAATATAACCCCTGGGAATTATTGGGAATCTAATAGAATTCATGGGGATCAATAAAAATCAGTTATAATCACAACGAACCAACTAGAGTCAACCAGAATCAATTAGGCATGAGGAATCAATGACAACCAATAGGAATCAGTGAGAAACAATGGGAATCACTGATAAACACTGAGACTAAATTAGAACCGATAGGACTCAACTCGAATCGATACGAATCAGTTAGAAGCTTTGAGACCCATAGTAACCAATGGGAACCACTTAGAACCACAATGAATCAATATAAATCGATGGGGATCAATTGATACCAGCGGGAATCAAATGGAATCCATCGGAATCGTCTTTTTTTTTTTTAAAAAAAAAAAAAAGGATGCAATGGGAATCGATCCGAATTAATTGGAATCGACAGGAATCAGTTAGAACCAATATGAATCAACAATAATCAATTGGAATGGATTGGAAGCAGTAGGAATCAATTGTAATCAGTTGAGAGCAATATGGATCAACTAGAAGCGATAGGAATTATTTATAATCAATCGTAATCAATGAGAACCAATGGGAAGCACTGAGAATCAATAGGAATCAATAGAACCCACTAAGATTCATTTAGTAAATAGGAAACGAGTAGAACCAGTAGGAGTTAGTGAGAATCAATAAGAACCAAAGAATCAATTATAATCATGATAATCAATCGATGCCTCCGGTGGGAACCCCTCATGGGGCCGAAACGTGTGAGAGGTGCCCCCAAATGAGCTCGAGGCGTCCTGTGGAGACCCATCCTGGGACAACGAAACATGTGAAGGGTACTCCGAAATGGGCCCGGAGCGTCACGTGGAGACCCTTCGTGGAACCACGAAACGTGTGAGGGTGATCCGAAGTGGGCCCGAGGCGTCCCGCGGATACACTCCACAAGTGCAGTGGACCGTGCGAGAGGCTACGGAACGTGCGAGAGGTGCTCCGACATGAGCGCGAGGCGCCCCGTGGAGACCCTCGAACGGCAGCGAAACGTTTGAGGGGTGCTCCAAAATGGCCCCGAGGCATCCGAAATGACTCGCGTTGCCTTCGGAGGGGACATCTCGTGGGGCCACGGAACGCATGAAAAGTGCACCGCAATGAGCCCGAGGCGTCCCGTGGAGATCCCTCGTGGGGCCACGAAACGTGTGAAAGATGCTCCGAAATTGGCCAGGGGCGTCCCGTGGAGACCCCTCGTGGGGCCACGAAACGTGTGAGGGGTACCCCGAAATTGGCCCGAGGCATCCCGTGGAGACCCCTCGTGGGGCCGCGAAGCGTGTCAGGAGTGCTCCGAAATTGGCCCGTTAGCGTGGGCGTGGGCTTGCGCGTGGGCGTGGGCATGGATGTGGGTGCGGGCGTGGGCGTGGGCGTGGGCGCGGGCTTCGGTGAGGGTTTGGGTGCTGGCCTGCTGCCCGCCCCCCCCCCGGGCGTGAGCGTGGGCGTCGGCGTCGGTGTGGGTGTGGGTGCTGGCCTGCTGGCCTGCTGCCCCCCCCACCTCCGGGGACGGGGCACACATAGGCGTTGATGCCAACAACAACAACAAACCAACAACAACAACACCAACACCAACAACACCACCACCAACAACAAGAACAACGCAACCAACAGAATCCTCACCACGGATTCTCACTTCAGCCACGCACTTCGGCCCCCTCACGCTGATATTGGTTCAATATTGTTTTGTTGTAGGCGTGTATGGGTGCTCGGCGAGGGCACCCCCCACACCACCGCGCCGGACAGAGCACGGTGCTTGCTGCAGCCGCGGCCTCACCACGGCTTCAGAGGAAGAGCGTGAAAGGGGTCTGCCCAGGCTGGGGTTCCCACAGTTTGCGTCGATCGCAATTCGTCTGCGATGGTGACGCTCGCGTCAGGCCAGGGTATCCTCATAAACATTGGGAAAATCGTGCTTTGTGCGCACTTCTATCGGAGGTTGGGGGGTGAGTCCGACGTGAAAAGGAGACCCCCGTACCAGGAAATCGACTTCGGTTTCGGGTTCGTGTCGTGCGTGCCGTGCGCGCGTGCGGGCGAGGCGAAGCTGCGTGGGCGGGCGAAAAGAAATCCTCCTGTGGCTGGGCCGCGGCCGGACCAAGTGTTTCTCCTGCGGCGGCCGGTGGCCCGCGATGTCCCGCAGGTGCACCGCTGGTGTCCCGAAATCCTCCTGTGGCTGGGCCGCGGCCTGACCAAATGTTTCTTCTCCGGCGGCCGGTGGCGTGCGGTGTCCCGCCGGTCCGCCGGTCTTCCGCTGGTGTCCCGAAATCCTCCTGTGGCTGTGCCGCGGCCGGACCAAATGATTCTCCTCCAGCGGCCGGTGGCCCGCGGTGTCCCGCGGTGTCCCGTGGTGTCCCGTGGTGTCCCGTTGAGTGAGATTGATAGTGAGATCGATAGTGAGTTCGATACTGAGATCGATGTGGTGCCCCGAGGTGTCCCGTGGTGTCCCAAAAAGTGAGATCGATAATGAGATCGACAGGTGTCCCGTGGTGTCCCGTTGAGTGGGATCGATTGTGAGTTCGATACTGAGATCGATGTGGTGTTCCGAGGTGTCCCGTGGTGTCCTATGGTGTCCCGTTGAGTGAGATCGATAAAGAGATCGATAGTGAGACCGATAATGAGATCGAGAGGTGTCCCGCGGTGTCCCGTAGTGCCCCGGGGTGGCTCATGGTGTCCCGTTGAGTGAGATCGATAGTGAGATCGATAGTGAGATCGACAAGTGTCCCGTGGTGTCCCGTGGTGTCCCGTTGGGTGAGATCGATAGTGAGATCGATTGAATCAGATGTTGGTTCCTCCCCCTCTCCCCGCCCCCACAACCTCCTTATCACCGGTATATTTTCGCCGTCCAGCCAGGTAGCCGTCACCAGCAGCAGGCAGCATTGTAGCATAGACTTGCTTGCACTTCCGATAGGAATGCGGTGCGACCCTGCGCCTGCATAAACCTCGGAAGGGGGCCAATCCGAATGCGGTACGACACTACGCCTGCATGCGGATTGGCCCTCAAAGTTTTCTTGCGTTGCCGATTTTGGCTCTAGGCTCAAGTGAGGTGGGAGGAAAAACATACCCCTCCGTCCTCACATGGTGGCCTGGGGTGGCCGCACCAAGCGCGGTGGCCGCAGCCTGGCCGTGATAATCTCATCTTGGTAGTTGCGGCTCGCCGAAGCGGCGATTACCTTCTGAGAGCGGCCCTCGGGGTCCGACCGAGGCCACACTGCGGACCTTTCTGGCTCCTTCTGGCCTCACGGGCCGAGCTGGAAAACTACCTGACTGCCATCGCCGAGAGCTGTCCGGAGAGCGACGTGGAATACGAGATCAGCGATGACAGATCATATGATGTATGCCCACCCGCTGGTGGACCAGCATCGGCTGGTACCCACAAGCCCCCTGCATCCCCCCCCTCCATCCCTCCCTCCGCATCGCCCCTCATCCTCCTTCCCACCTTCTCCTCCTCCGTCCTCCGTCATCCGCATTCCTCCTCCTGAATATCCTCCCTCCTCATCCTCCTTCTTCTCCTTCCTCATTCTCCTCATCCCCGCCCTTTCGCTCCTCGTCCTCCTGCGTCCTCCGCGCCCCCCCCCTCCCCCCAAGCCCCGCACCCATAGCCCGCACCTGCTGGGCGTCCCGTGCAAATCTCGATCCCCGGCGGCGGCAGGGGCGCGGCGGAGTCGGTGCTGCGGCGGCGCGGGGCTGGCAGCAGAGAACTCTCAGATCGTGCCGGGGCAGACAAGGTCGAAGGATCGCGCCGCATTGCCGATACATCACTGATGCATCGCCGAAGCATCAGCGATGCACCAGCGACGTCGCCGATGTATCGGCGATGTCGGCGTAAAGAAAATCGAGCTCCACATCGAGCCGTACCGCTGATGCATCGGCGATGCGGCGCGATGCTCTTGTCCCATCTGCTCGGACCCCATTTGGGAGGCCTAAGAGTGGGCGGGGCAGCACGGAGAAGGGACAGACTAGGGAAGACTATGACGGAGGCGGACGGAGGAGGAGAGAAGAAGACGAGCGAAGATCGAGGCTGGTTTGGGCCTCGGGAAACCTTCCCGGGCCCTCCAGAGGCACCAGGGAACCTACATAATCATGCGGGACCGCCAGGGGCATCCCGATACCTTCAGGGACCTGCTGCAGTGGGGGGCAGAGGAGGGGGGAGGAGAAAGGATGAAGGCAAGCGAGGTGCGCTCGCGCCATAGCTGACATCCAACCGCTCCCACCTACGGACGCGGAATTCCAATGAGGACTCCATCGTGGTCCATCGTCGTGTTATGCGCAATCGGAGAAATGGGGCTGCGTACATTAGAGGATGACATGTGGGATGAGAATGCGAATGAACAGGAGGGAAAAATGAGGAAGAGGAACGAGGAGGAGGACGAGGACGAACAGCAGTCGCAAGAGCTGGAGAACGGAAGGCGGAAGAGGGAAACAGAGGAGGTCGACAACGAGAAGGAAGGACTCGGATCAAGAAAAGTGGCCCCCGATGGGACGAGAGTGCCTTTCGGAATGGCGGGAGAAAAACGCCGATCCTGAAATGAGGCCCACGCAGCGGCGGCAAGACCACTCTGACGGATCGAACATGATCGACCCACGAACCCGGAAAGGAATATAGAAATGTGCGGCACGGCACCGTTTTCAGGGCGCCTGATTGGGTGACGGGCAGTTGCAATGCTGAAGTTATCGATGTTGATGTACCAGTGCTGTGCTGTGCTGTGCCGTGCTGAATTGCGATGTGCAATGTCGCGATTGTGCTCTAATGTTGTGGATCGAGTCCTCCGTATCATCCGAGTCCTGACCGAATTGATCTGGATCTTGAGCTCGAGATGCCTGAGCAATAGTAGCTGGCCCAAAACTAATTGAAGTCGAAACGTGCGGGACTGTCATTCAACTCGAGCTCAAATACAACTCAGCTCCGAGAAGGGACGACACGACACGGGGCACAGGCTCACGGACGCGCCAAAGGATATGCCAGGGGGGCGCAATAGGGATGCGCCAGGGAACGTGTCAGGAGACGTATGAGGGGACGTACCCTGGACGTGCACGGTACGTGCCAAGGCGCCAAGGCGCGTGCCAGTGGGCGGACAAGAGGACGTCATGCCAGGGGACCAGGCAAGGGGCGCTACGGACCTAGCACAAGGAACGCCTGAGGAAGAGCTAGGAAACGCGACAGAGGACGAGCCAGGAAATGTGCCACGCCAAGGAGCGTGCTAGGGGACGTGCCAGGGCAAGTCACGCCAGAAAGTTTGAAGGGACGCGCCAGGCGACGGGCCAGCGCGCCAGGGGACGCCCCACGGACGGGCGGGGTTGGGCTGCGACGCAAATTACGGCGACAAGTGTTTCGCTTGCGACATCCTCTACACATCCTCATGTTTGGCATCTGCCTGGGCTACCTGGGCACGCGAAAACAAACTTGTCGCTTGAGACATCCAACCTAAATCCTCATGCTAGACATCCGCCTAGGAGACCTGGACACGTGAAAACGAACGTTTCGCCCGAGGCATTCTCGACACATCCTCTCATATTAGACATCAACCTGAACGACCTGGACACGTGAAAAAAACGGAACGCTCGAAACATTCTGAATACATCCTCATGTTAGACATCCGCCTGGGCGACCTGGGCACGTGAAAACAAGCGCTTCGCTAGAGACATCCTCGACACATCCTCACGCTAGGCATCCGCTGGGCGACCTGGACACGTGAAAGCAACGTCTCGCTCGAAGCATCCTCAACACACTCTTCTTTGACATCCGCCTGGGCGACCTGGACATGTGAAAACACGCGTCTCGTCCGAGACATCCTCTACACATCCTCATGATAGTCATAAGCCTGGGCGACCTGGGCACGGGAAAGCAAGCGTTTCGCTCGAGACATTCCCAACACATCCTCATGCTAGAAATCCGCCTGGGCGACCTGGACACATGAAACAAGCCTTTCGCGTGAGATATCCTCAACAAATCCTAATGTTAGTCATCAGCCTGGGCGACCTGGACACGTGAAAGCAAGCGTTTCGCTCGAGACATTCCCAACACATCCTCATGCTAGAAATCCGCCTGGGCGACCTGGACAAATGAAACAAGCCTTTCGCGTGAGATATCCTCAACAAATCCTAATGTTAGACATCTGCCTGGGCGACCTGGACCCGAGAAAACAAGCGTTTCGCTCGAACATCCCCCAACTCTGCAAAACGAGCGATTCATTCGAGATATCCTCAACAAATGATGTAATGTAAGCGTTTCACTCAGGGCATCCCCAAAGCAAAATCAGCCGGTCCACCCTTTCCTCGTTATTGATCGCAGAAGAATTCCGCTGGCCCACCTGAAGTCGAGGCCAGGGGTAAACAATACTAAAAAAAAACCCTGCGCCCACGCCCTTTCCGCGAAAAAAACCATATTGTAACGAAAACATGAGACATATCAAATGCTGGAAACCTGCTTGTACCAAAACATGATCGGCCCACGAACCCAGAAAGGAATGTTTAAATGTAAGGCATGGCAACGTTTCAACGACACCTGATTGGACGACGGGCAACGCAATGCTGAATGTATCGATCTTGATGTACCGTGCCGGAGGCTGTGCTGTGCTGCGCCGTACTAAATTGCGATGTGCCATGCCGCGATTGTGCTCTATAGCGTGGTGGATCGAGTCCTCCTCTGCATCCGAGTCTTGACTGAATTGATCTGGATCTCAAGCTCCAGCTGCCTGAGCACAGAGTAGCTCCCCTCAAGCTAATTGACAGGGGGACATGCCAGGAGGACGCGCCGCGGGACGTCCCAAGGGACGCGCCAGGCGACGTGCCAATGGACGTGCCACAGGACATGCCAGGGGACGCGTCGCGCGACGTGCCAGGGGGACTCGCCACGGGACGAACCACGGAACGTGCCAAAGAACATGCCAAATTGCAATGCTGAATGTATCGATCTTGATGTACCGTGCCGGAGGCTGTGCTGTGCTGCGCCGTGCTGAATTGCCATGTGCCATGCCGCGATTGAGCTCTATAGCGTTGTGGATCGAGTCCTCCTCTGCATCCGAGTCTTGACAAAAATGATGTGGATCTTAAGCTCGAGCTGCCTGAGCACAGGGTAGCTGCCCCAGAGCTAATTGACAGGGGGACATGCCAGGAGGACGCGCCGCGGGATGTCCCAAAGGACGCGCCAGGCGACGTGCCAGGGGTCGTGCCATGGGAACGCACCGCGGGACGTGCCAAGGGGACGCGCTACGAAACGTGCCAATGGACGTGCCACGGGACGTGCCAGGGGACGCGCCGCGCGACGTGCCAGGGGGACTCGCCACGATGCGCGCCACGGAACGTGCCAGGAACAAGCCAAGTTGCAATGCTGAATGTATCGAACTTGATGTACCGTGCCGAAGGCTGTGCTGTGCTGCGCCGTGCTGAATTGCGATGTGCCATGCCGCGATTGTGCTCTATAGCGTGGTGGATCGAGTCCTCCTCTGCATCCGAGTCTTGACCGAATTGATCTGGATCTCAAGCTCCAGCTGCCTGAGCACAGAGTAGCTCCCCCAAAGCTAATTGACAGGGGAACGTCCAGGAGGACGCGCCGCGGGACGTCCCAAGGGACGCGCCAGGCGACGTGCCAGGGGGGGGTCGTGCCATGGGGACGCACCGCGGGACGTGCCAAGGGGACGCGCCACAGAACGTGCTGGGGACAAGCGTTTCGCTCGAGACATCCTGCCCAAATCCTCATGGTAGACATCCGCCTGGGTGACCTGGACACGTGAAAACAAACGTTTCGCTAAACACATCCTCAACACATCCTCATGCTAGACATCTGCCTGGGCGAACTGGGCACGTGAAAACAAGAGGTCCTCTGGAGACATCCTCAACACATCTTCATGTTAGACGTCCGCCTGGGTGACTTGGGCACGTGAAAACAGGCGCTTCGCTCGAGACGTTATCAACACCTCCTCATGCTAGACATCCGCCTGGGCAACCTGGATGCGTGAAAGCAAACGTCTCGCTCGAGACATCCTCAACACATCCTCATGTTAGACATCCACCTGGGCGACCTGCACATGTGAAAACTGGCGTTTCGCTCAAGACATTCTCAACACGGATGTATTTCGCCATATTCGGTCTCCAAAGACCCGGACCGTCAAGATGTTTTCCAGGATGAAAATTCAGTCCTTGGTAATTGGGAAGGGATCGAGAGGTCTGCAGGAAGGACATCGGGGATTTGGGGTGCTCTGGTCGCTCTGATACTCTTCCTCTTCCTCGTCATTCTCTGCGTTTCTCCGCCTCTTCCCTCTTTCCTGCTGGCGAGATGAGGGAGGAGGAGGAGGAAGAGGAGGAGGAAGATAATTTGGAAGCTCGCAGCCAGCCGTGTGACACACGGCGGGATGTCAAGCATCCAAAGCGAAAACACCCCGAAGCGAAAGCACCCTTGCAGCTTCGTCTATGTCTGCGTGTGAGGCGGGAATTGCCTGTGGAGCCTCAGAACGCTGGTCTTCCCAAAGCGCCAGCCACCGCGCTCACGATCATGTTCCAGGAAAGGGCGTAAACCAAGAATTTTCTTTTAGTATTGCTACCACCGGTTTCGACTTGAAGGAGGCCGGCGAAATTATTTTGCATAGATGACGAGTTTGAAGGAGGCCGGCGGAACTATGTTTGAGGAAATCTCGAGCGAAACGTTTGCTTGTCAGAATTTGTTGAGGATGTC